ATAGTTATTAGGGAATAAGAAATTATTAATATACTAGAGGGGAAAAAGAGAAGAAGAAGTCCAGTAAACTCACCCCAAAATCGCCGAATCAACTCTTCCGCTACCGGAACGCGTCCGCTTCGGCTCCAGCAAATGCCCGTGCACCCTTGGACTTGGGATCCGGGTAGGCGACTAGTGAAAAGATATCGTCCAGCGCCCCGCTTATACTCCCGCCCCTGGTCACCGGGGTAGTCGGCTTGCAGCTCTTGGCCGTACAGGATCGCTTCGTGGAGGAGGTCGTGGTAGCTTGCTGCATTTGTTGTCGATACTGGGGTGTTATAGTCAGCGGGTTCTTCGACATCCATTCCGTTTTCTTCGTCGTCGTCATCGTCATCGAGGTCTGGGTGTTGGTCATCATAATGGTCGTGATCTTTCCCATCGGATTCCGAAGAATCATGACCATCATCCAGGACATCGTTCATATGCTCGTCTAGCTCCATATCGTGCACGAAGACGTCGTCGCTGGTATCGTGTACAGATACAGCAGTAGCGCCATTGGATGAGCGGGCTGCCTGCTTGGACGTCGATGGGGCGATAGGCTGTGGTTCAGTGCAGCGACGCATCATCTCGATGAACTTCCGACAGCGGAGACGAAAGTAAATTTGTGGATTGTCCCGAAGGACGTTAGCGTATGAGGCATTTGTGAATTTCAAAGCCTTGTCGATATCGCCGTCCAAAATGGCAGTGCGGATTTCTGAAAAAAAAAAAAAAAATAGAAATTTAGTACAGACGTGGTTAAGATAGGGAGGGGGTGGGTGGCAAGCGAGATTACTCTGTCGGTTAATAGCATCAACATCCTCCTCTGCCTGGCAATATCTCAACGGCGTTTCCTGCCCATTCTGCAAAGCCCGCGACTCCTCCCTGACCTCTCCAGCAAAGGCGCGTGCGGTCTCAACATATCCGCCATGCGCCAAAAATTGAGCCACAAGCTCCTGGATAAACGTGCTCTCATCGGGGGAGGAATGTAAATTGGAAATATTAGTAGCCCTTATCTCCGCTTGAACGTTAAGTTTCTCTCTCTGGAACAAAGGTAAAAGCTTTCGTTAGCATAGGTGTGGAAAGTCAAATGACCATTCGAGTAGTGAATTTTTGATTCCAAAAATAAGGAATAGCCTTACCTCCATCAACCCGTCAATATCATATACAAAAGGAAACTGGCCAAAATTCGCCTTTAGATGCGTCGTGGGTTGCTTCTTCACCCCAACCGCAGGGTATAGTTTCACATTCCGCAATTCCCGGAACGCATTACCTGATTCAAAGACACAATCTGTTAGCAATTGCCCCGTAGCTAAATCATACCAATATTTGTTTGCATAAAAAATAAAAGTATAAGTAAAGTGAGAGAGATCCATACCAAGAAAAACCCCATTCCTTGTAAAAAAAGCAGTATTCGTCGAGAAATTCACCCCACAGCCAATGGTGTCATTCACAGAATACTTGGGGCCATACAATTTGCCCTGGCCCTGCGTCTCGCCGAAGAAAGTCCTGCCATCGTCGCCGTGGTAAGCCCAGGATTCCTGCTCCCAGCCCGGCAATCGTTCGAGAGATGCTTTATTGCTTGTGAAGCCCACGCATATCATCCCTGCCAGTGACAAGGACGAATTTGTCAGCTAACCCACGTGGCTCCTCGCCACCAAATATGGATTATGGTATACCTAATATATATTATGTATGGTAATTCGGAAATAACTTTACCCATCCCTTCCGGGTT